GTGTAAATCTAAAATCAACAGGACTCTGAACACCATCCACCTCACTTTTCCCGTCCTGACCAGTCTGCACTCGGGCGCCTAATAATGGGCAACAATGTCTTTCCAGTTAAAATAGGACGCTTGCATCTCAGGTAAATCTTCCCTTGGCAAATTCCGGCGACAAACCCTCATTCTCCAAATAAAAACATTGCTGTAGATTCAGACGTAATGAATTCTGCGCACAGTAACCAGCTGTAATGCTCGCTCAAAGGCTTTCGTGACACCCAGGGCAATCGTCTGGAATCAGTCTAGGTACGTGGACATACTAGTTATTGCAATCCTTAAAAACGCTTCTATAAATAACAGCATGAATAGCTGCGAACTGCCTCTTTTCAGTGAATAAACGTGTGTTTCCAGTCACCCTGCTGCTATGTTGTAATAAAAGAACTACCTACTAAGACGTATGAAAAGAAAGAAAAAAGAAGGAAAAGGTCAACAGAAGACTTACCAAGTAATCTGATTTTCTGAGGCATCGTCCTTGTTCAGCAAGTATAATGAGATTCGAAGCCGACTCTTCGGATAGTCGATATTCTCCAACCATCCGAACAGATAAGGTATCACATGGGCATGGTCCTTCAGGCCGATATTGATCTGTGTGACAGGATAAAGATGGCGAACATCGCCGTCATCGGGGACGGCACCCGGAAAGAGACAGCCGGCTGGTTGAATCCATACCAATATCCAAACCGCAGAATAGTATGCCCACATTCTGAAATCGCGCGGTGCACCTCATACAACAAACACAATGAATGAAACGAAATCTCATCAAAAGTCCATTTTCTCGAAAAAAAAACCCTAGACAATTTCACTGATAGCCGTAAGATTACGAAAGATCAAATGTGAAGGAAACACATAGGAATTTGCAAGAGTTAGAATGAGCCCAAACATCTTAAAAACAAAGACAACCACGCATGCTTTTGGCGAGATGCCACGCAAGGCCGTGGTTTTTCAGAACAAGTAGAATCACTGCAAAATAGCCAGTTATTTTAGGAATCACGCACAGATCGCACGTATGATCAGCTCACCTTGATCTTTAATATTTTTTCTACTGACAGCTCTAGCTATTGAAACAGATCTCGTTGGAATGGGGAAAACTCTCCAGTTAAATAGGACGCTTGCATCTCAGGTAAATCTTCCCTTGGCAAATTCCGGCGACAAACCCTCATTCTCCAAATAAAAACATTGCTGTAGATTCAGACGTAATGAATTCTGCGCACAGTAACCAGCTGTAATGCTCGCTCAAAGGCTTTCGCGACACCCAGGGCAATCGTCTGGAATCAGTCTAGGTACGTGGACATACTAGTTATTGCAATCCTTAAAAACGCTTCTATAAATAACAGCAATGAATAGCTGCGAACTGCCTTCTTTTCAGTGAATAAACGTGTGTTTCCAGTCACCCTGCTGCTATGTTGTAATAAAAGAACTACCTACTAAGACGTATGAAAAGAAAGAAAAAAGAAGGAAAAGGTCAACAGAAGACTTACCAAGTAATCTGATTTTCTGAGGCATCGTCCTTGTTCAGCAAGTATAATGAGATTCGAAGCCGACTCTTCGGATAGTCGATATTCTCCAACCATCCGAACAGATAAGGTATCACATGGGCATGGTCCTTCAGGCCGATATTGATTTGTGTGACAGGATAAAGATGGCGAACATCGCCATCTCATCGGGGACGGCACCCGGAAAGAGACAGCCGGCTGGTTGAATCCATACCAATATCCAAAGCGCAGAATAATATGCCCACATTCTGAAATCGCGCGGTGCACCTCATACAACAAACACAATGAACGAAACGAACGGAAAAAAACCCGCTTAGATAATTTTATGATAGGCCGTAAGATACGAGAAGGGTGTGAGTGTGTATGTGGTTGAAACACATAGAAATTAGCCGAAGTTAGAATGAGCCCAACATCTTTAAAACAAGGACAACCACGCATGTGTGTGTGTGTGGTTTAGATGCCATGTGTGTCTTGGTGGGGAAGCCGTGGCTTTTTCAGTACAAGTAGAATCACTTGCAAAAGGAGCGTTATTTTTTAGGTGCGTGGGGAGATCGGGAGTGTGTTGGTTGGTATGATTGCTCACCTTGAGCTTTAATATTTTTTCTACTGACAGCTCTAGCTATTGAAACAGATCTCGTTGGAATGGGGAAAACTCATTAAAAAAACTTTTACGACCAAATCAAGCAACGTGTGTGAGTGCAAGCAAGGTGGTGGTATGTGAGTGGGTTGACGCGATTGGGTGATTTAACTTTTCATTGGTGGTTTTCCAAAAAAAGTGTGATATGGGTCAGTGCTGGCATAACAATGAGGAATAGCAAAAAACCGTGGACAAGAGTTGTTGGGTGGTGGGACGATTATAGAAAAGTGTAGTGTGTGGCGCTTGGAGAAACTCGTGTGGTTTCGCAATTGCTTTTGCTACGATAACGATGTTAATTGCAAAAGTTGCAAGAAACAGCAAATTGTTGTGGTGCTGCCTCACGTCCGTTATTAGAATGACCCTCGCTCAAGCTCGGCAGCCGATAGCAAACGATTTCAGGGATCTCTCTAGATTACAAAACGACACCAACTTGGAAGATCCAAAAAGTGATCTCCATAGGAATTCGCTGTTTCGAAGGGGATTATCATAGATGCAAATAGGGCAGTCTGAGAAGCTGGCAGCATCCTATTGACCCTTCGAGAATTAGAAGATGACTGATGATGAAAGGACGAGAGGAAACAACTACGATGCCTTTTTTAATCGAGGGTAGCGATTTACGCTTACTCATGGCATAAAAAATGCCAGCGTGTCATCACATGCATTAAACCGGGGGGGGTGTGTACAAACTACACTTGAAAAAGCGCACTATCCAATAAGGTGTCATCTAACCCAGTCGATCAACACATGTGGAGAAAACTGTCACCAAGGGGATTGCACGTAACGTTGGGTGGAAGCGTAAGGACGACCAGTTCGATGACAAAAGTACACGGATTCACCAAAACCAAAGAGAAAATTGAGAGCAGCACCAAAAAAAGTAAAAAAAGACCTCGTACAGCAATTTGATTCCCGGCAAAGATATATGAGGAATCACTGGTGTTTGCAGCAAGCGACCAACAAGGGTCCATCCAATTTAAAAATTAAACTAAATCGCAGGTTAAGAACTACACCCTTGGGGTTGGGGAAACCGCGAATGAAGTGTATGTAACACAATCAGTTTTGAAGCATTTTCGAATTATCATATTTTCTCTTCATCAATAGCAAAAATATCGCGAACCACGGACCGCACTATTAGGCCAAACATCGGACACGTCAAATACGAATACATAGGTAAAGCAACAAATTAGGAAAGCTAGGAAAAACTTCTGACGAAATGACATTTGTGATGTAACGTGGGTATTCGTAGGCCGGCCTGTCAGAGGGCCTGTCGCCTGCATTCGAATGTTCGCGACCAGCTCAGTTCACAAAAGTGAGCAGTTCCCAGTGGCACCACTTGGAGAAACAGTCAGGCATCCAATCGGGAAAGTGGCGTCAGTGTACCAGAAAAGCGGACGCTGACGCCACTTTCCAAGCGGGACAAACGCTAAAGAAGAAGAAGAAGAGGAAAAACTTCTGACGAACAATTTATATGTTTGAATCCTGAATTAAATAACAACTCATTATTCATTGAGAAGCAATATTAAATATCCACGTTCGAAATTGCATCAATTTGTTTCGATGCAGAACGTTGAGTTAACTGGAGAAGCAATTCATAGAGTAAGCTCTAGATTTCTTCATGTGCATCTCTTCAATGAGCATATCGTGAAGACTCCGGATTCCATGAATGGTTTTGCAAGGCTTGGGGGATCGCAACAGTTCACAAGACTATGGCGAAATTCACTGTTGTAACGGTAGCATCTTTTGGTCACTTAGCAAGCTAAACATTTTCGACGGCCACGAAAGCGGCCGCGAAATCACGGTGAAATGCCTTGATCCATTACACTTGGTAGCTCGAAGGCACCCGCTTAGGAAGGCTTCCTAGCTCACTAAACATTCGAATGGTAGAGCAAGGCACTGTCTGTTCACTTTGAGACGCAACTTGGAAATATCGTGACAGAACACATCTCCGCTGCTAATCAGTAACCATTTGAGGGGTGAGAAGACACCATACCACCGCTTCAATAAGGGACTCTTAACAGCAAACAAGTCGAACAATGCTGCATCACAGCTTCGCCGTAAGATTCCCAGTTTCAATAAATTGTTCTGCCAAGACGTTTTAAATCTATCAGTGGCTTCTTTCAAAAGGCTTATTCCTGAAGATTAGTTACCCTGCTCAGCTATTACCTCTTTTTCAGAAACGATCCTTTCAGGGGTATCGCGGTGTGTTCTTGTATTAACCTGCTTGGTTTCTGATCAGTTTTGTTTGTTTGTGTTTGCTTCTTATTGTTTGCAGCACTGCTTAAGTTTGCTTTTATCTACTTTTACATACTTCGTTTTTTTTATGTCACTGGGTGCTATGTCTGTCATGAACATAATTTTATCTTTGAGTTTTTCTCGCGCGACTTCACGTCCCCAATAAATAAACAAATCAAACAGAAAACTATAGAAACGAGTAAGAACCTGGAAAATCGAAAAGGTTTCGCGAACCGCACTGGGTTCCCGCGGTTTCCCCCACCCTGTACACATAGAATGAATTTGTACTTTTCATTGGCTTCTTCTAATCTGCGGGCCCTTAGAGAGCGCTAGCACTAGGGTTGCTTTTTTTGTGCTTATATACGTGATTGGCATTCGAAAAAAACAAGAAAAGCCTGCTGTTCATCAACTCGCAGAGACCATCGTGAATCTGTCACAACAATAATGATATGAAGAAACAGTGAGATTTAGCGGAAAAAGCAACACAAGTCAATAATAAGTCACTGGTACGGAGAAACATAAAAAAAAACCCTACCCACCTGACTTCAGAAGGAGTTCAGGTCACTCTGGCTCGGTAAAAGCCCTTGAAACTTTACGGTGCGAGCTTTATCCGGCCGCTTGCAAGAAAGCCACAGAATTCATCTGTAAGAGGCATCAAAATTTCAGCATTTTAAGAAGAAACAGTAGACCTTAAAAATTTTGGGCATCAATCAGTATTCCAGAGCGCGCGAACCGCAAGCTGGAACCCCTTCTCT